ATTGGGGAATTCTGGGAGTGGAAGTCCACTCATATTAAATCAAGCTGGTTGGGTGATTCTGGGAGTTGAAGTCCCCCCATCTTAGAGAATGCTGATTGGGGAATTCTGGGAGTGGAAGTCCACTCATATTAAATCAAGCTGGTTGGGTGATTCTGGGAGTTGAAGTCCCCCCATCTTAGAGAATGCTGATTGGGGAATTCTGGGAATTGAAGTCCACTCATATTAAATCAAGCTGGCTGGGGGATTCTGGGAGTTGAAGTCCACTCATATTAAATCAAGCTGGCTGGGGAATTCTGGGAGTGGAAGTCCACTCATATTAAATCAAGCTGGTTGGGTGATTCTGGGAGTTGAAGTCTTAGAGAATGCTGATTGGGGAATTCTGGGAATTGAAGTCCACTCATATTAAATCAAGCTGGCTGGGGGATTCTGGGAATTGAAGTCCACTCATATTAAATCAAGCTGGCTGGGGAATTCTGGGAGTGGAAGTCCACTCATATTAAATCAAGCTGGTTGGGTGATTCTGGGAGTTGAAGTCCCCCCATCTTAGAGAATGCTGATTGGGGAATTCTGGGAATTGAAGTCCACTCATATTAAATCAAGCTGGCTGGGGAATTCTGGGAGTTGAAGTCCACTCATATAAATTCAAGCTGGCTGGGGAATTCTGGGTGTTGAAACCCACAAGTCTTAAAGATGCCAAATTTGGAGACCCCCTGTTTTAAAAGAACCTTTCCCCAAAACATTTTTTAACCAGCAGAGTTCCCAGTTTTAAAACCATTTGAAAGCCTTTGAACCTTCTAAAACAAGAGTTTTCAAATGTTTGTTTTCAGACTGGGAACTCTGTTCGTTTAAAATATAAATATACATCTCCCCGGACTTTGAATCCAGAGGTAAAACTTTAGAGATAAAAATTGGCTGCGTTTTAAATTTTTGCCTTTTTCGTTTGAAAAAAGAGGTCAAAGGGACTTTGAAACCAATGGTGGGCTGTCCTGGAATTGGGGGGGGGGATAATTTGGTGCCTGATCCTCTTCTTCCTCCTTTTGCACCCCCTTTTTCTGCAGGTGCTTCCCCTGTATAGTAAAGTGAACCCCGAAGGGTCGGCTGCTCCTTGTTGTGTTCCCCGCAAACTGGAACCTTTGACCATCCTGTATTACGTCGGACGCAAGGCTAAAGTCCAGCAGCTGAGCAACATGATTGTGAAATCCTGCCGTTGCCGTTAAAACGGGAGGGGGGAGGGGGCGTGACTGGCCCCTTCTATTTCCCCCAGAAAAAAATCATCCGATAAGTATCCCTGTTTTCCCCCTCTCCCAGCTTTAAAATCAGGAGAATGTGTCCTCCAAGAGCAGAAACCTTTCGACTGTGAAGACTCAAGGGTCTAGTCCTCATTGTCGAGGAAATTCAATCTTTAAGGGCTGAGCTGCGCGACTGGTGGTTGGGGCATGAGGTGGGTGGGCTGCACATGATCTGAGGCATTTGTTGTTCCAAAAGAGCCTGAAGCCAACTCCTTGTCCCGACAAAAATCCCTTTTTATTCATGTCCTGTGAATTCTGCTCCTTCACCACCAGCAAAGTCTTTCGAGGGAGGATTTACGGTCACAGACCTTATCTGGCTTGGAGAGCTGCCAGGCCGAT